CTCTGTGGTCTGTGCTTTCTCTACAGTATTGGCAAGACCATCTGACAGGTGAGCTTATACAGTAACTTGTCTGACATGACTTTGCACAGATTGTTAAAACTACTAATCCCAAACTTGTCCCTTGGCATTTTTCTATTAACATGCTGCTTGAAGACGCTAAATACCAAGTCAGTAGAGCAACTCTCCAATTAAAAAGAGGAAAGGATCAATTGGATGAGCTGCAATGCCAATGTCCAGAAGCTGTAAAATTTCTTAGATGAAATGGTGGAGGCTTGGGTACTGCATGCACCCACAGATCTCACAAGTGCAAAAGCCCAGGTACAGACACAATAATTTGATGTTACTAAATTGATAACTTGAGTAACTTGTACCAACACTTCTCTACTGCCTGTGGATTACAAGAGGAGGTCTCTTGCAAAAGCTTCCACTTACATAAAAGCCTTTCTAGTCCTTTTCCTGAAGGTACACCAATTTGCTCCAGAAATGACTGTAAACAAAATACAGCATCCTCAAAACAAGAAGTAGAAAAACACTAGGAGCTCCGGAATGCAAGTAGGCAAAGCATTAAGGAGGGGGAGGGCAGGCAGAAGTGAATGCAAAGCCTGAGGAGTGTAAAGCCATGGGGGACAGTCTACAGCAGGGCTGCGTGTGTCCTGTTGCAGGAACACCCTGGCCAGCCTGCAGCACTCTGATCTCAGCATCTCATGTGTTTGTCTTCACTTTCAGAATTTAAGTCGGCTTCTTCGACATCAGTGCTGGCAATGTAGGCTGGAACAACACCACCTTCTCTTGAGGTGCCCTCAGGTGATAAGAGCTTAGTCCTGAACCCTCGCTGTGGTTTTTGAGCACTGCAGTTCTAGTCATGTAACCAGTATGTGGTACAAATGCAAAAGGCAGAGGTACCTTAGTTGCTTCTACCCACTGCTCATTTAACGTCTTGTCTGCTGCTTAAATGAAAGTAAAATTCGAGTAGGAGACTTATGACTGAGACTCCTTGTTATTCTGGAAAGCCCTGTGGTTGAGATGGAAGGTGTCTTCTCAAAATACTCTTAACAGGAGCTTTTCTTTTTTAATAACAGTTTAGCCTGTTGGGTTTGGACACGCCCTTGTCCTGTTTTGTGCTCAACAGCCTGGCCAAATTTAAATAGAACTATCTTGACCTGATTTCAAAATATATTGAAGTCAATAGATGTGGCTATCAACGCAGCAGACAGACCTCCCTTCAAAAGGATGAAAGGTATGATTGCCTCTTATTTAAAAGGGATGGACTGCAGTCCAGATCCTCCTTAGATCTAACACTGCATGGGCATCTGACTGCTTAGCAGAAAAACTTGTGCTGTGAGTCTCCCAGGGCTCAGCATCAGTAGAGGGAGCAGTAAGTGGAAAACCCCACTGTTCACTGCTCCGCCCTCCCCTTTTCATCCATTGAACAATTTGCAGTGACAGTGAAGATTAGAGCACGGCTCAAAATGAGACAGAAGCACAGTGAGCCATTCCCAGAGGCCAAAGTGGAGAATTAATTATACAGGGAAGACTTATATATAAATATTTATTATTCATTCCCTGGGTCGGACAAGATCATTTGCTGCCAAATCACAATAAAAATATCGAGTACTGATATGTTTCCTGAATCTCTGAAGTTAGGTGTATTTTGACTTTTTTTTGCTGGACAGACAAACCCTCTCTCAACCCTGCTCTGAGCTCTATTGTGAACATCCCATTTTGTCCCTATCGCAGCTTTGCTTTGCAGCCACAGTGTTTAGATATGAGCCTGCACCTCAGCCTGCAAAAATGCTTTGTTGGGAGAACAAAAGAAATCTGCTTTGGTGAATTAAAGCAGCACAGCAAATAAAGCGATGCACTACTTGGCACCTAAATACAGTATATCTTATTAAATATTTTCCACTCCACTTTAAAGCCTTGCAGAGCTGCCTATTGAGGAAGGAAGACATGCCATGAGGCAGGTATTCTTTTAGCAGAATGGCTATGAAGCCCTTAAACACAACAGCGCCTTCCATGGGGAGGCAGTTTCCTTCTCCAGAAATCAATCTGCTGCCTTTATGGAGCCACCTGCTCAAAGCAGGCTGCCTCTGCCTGTTCTTGGAGCCACGGCACCAGCATTCTCTGACCTTCTCCTAGCTCATCCTCTCTGGGCCAGCTGCTCTGCACTCGGGTTTTGACTGTGATGCAGGTGGGTACATACAGCTGCAACACGTGAATGCCACAGCCCTGTTATTTGCAGTCAGTTGCCAGGAAAGGCTTCAGCCTGCCCCACATCTCTTTTGAAGCCTTTCTACACTAGATACTTTCAGAGTTATTCTCAGAGCATCCAAACCCTGAAATGTGTGTTTGTAAGGTACCTCATGGCACGAGTACAATTAAGACCACCTCTACTGCTAACAACCCTCATACTCTCTAATAGGGAATGTAAAAGCTTGCTTTGTCTCTGGCACATCATGAGAATGCTCTTTGGTGTATTTTTGTAAAATGTTTCACCTTTCAGTTTTTTGCTCTTAGACACGTTTCTTCACTGTTCTTCTATTAATCACAGGTAACCTCCCCAGCTCAAGAAAGATGAGGAACCACTGGAGAGAGTCCAGTGGAGGGCTACAAGGATGATGAGGGGACTGGGGCATCTCTCCTACGAGGAAAGGCTGAGGGAGCTGGGCTTGTTCAGCCTGAAGAAGAGAAGGCTGCAAGGGGACCTAATTTATGCTTACAAATATCTTAAGGGTGGGTGTCAGGAGGATGGGGACAAACTCTTTTCAGTGATGCCCAGTGACAGGACAAGGGGCAATGGGCACAAACTGAAGCAGAGGAAGTTCCGTCTGAACATGAGGAAGAACTTCTTCACTTTGAGGGTGATGGAGCACTGGAACAGGCTGCCCAGGGAGGTTGTGGAGTCTCCTTCTCTGGAGATATTCAAGACCTGCCTGGACAAGGTCCACCTTGGAGGTGGGAGGAACAAGTGGCACTATGCAGTGGAAGGGACCCGAGGATATCAAAGGAAGGAAATGTATCTTCAGCTCTTAATAGCATTATCAATCACTAAAAAAATACATGCTCCAGTTCTGAGCATTACAGCCTGTGCCACTCCAAAGTGTTCCCATATAATACCATCCTTTATCTTTCATTTAGGTCCATGTGTGTTCACACGTATAACATGTACATACGGCAAGCTTTCTAGCAGCAGCAGTGCTGGGACTTTGGTAAATATTAGCACTTGCTCAATTGCTGTGTGTAAAATGTCTGTGTGGAGAGGGCTCTGGGCCTGATCCTCTTCAGTCTGCCCATGAGTTATTTCAAGCCACGCAGCACAGCAGGGTGGGGAGCTGTGCCCTCTGCAGCCTACGTGCACCGCATCACACAGCCCGGCGGAAGGCTCACCGCAGGCTGCCGCTTGCCTCCCAACAGACGAGCACCATTTCATATCTAAGCAAAAAAAAGATCACATCTGCCTTTTTCCAGGAGAAAAGTATGTGAAAATGAGGATGCTGGGGAGTAATACATCACTTTCAATTTGACTGGAAAAAGTCAGAGAGTAATTAACATGCCAGCAAGTCTGATGTTTCTGCTTTCATCGTGTTAAAGCTATACACACAGTTAAATCAAAAAACGTACAAATGCCCCTTTATTTTGCAAAAGAAAAAAATGCCCTTTGGAGCCAGGGCTAGTATCCCTTTTGGCAACTGCCAGGCTAGGGCCTGTAGCCCTTTTTGGCCCTGATCCTGCAAAAGCTAGCGGGAGTGCCACAGCGGCAGCACCCCATGCGCTAGTCCCAGGTGATGTCCCAGCTGCCCAGAGCGGCAGGACTCGGCTCCAGGGAGGACCCTACAATTCACCCCAAAAAAATGCTCAGTAGCC